ATATAAAAACGCATAAGTTTGTTAAATTTCACATTCTTCAACTATTTGTTTATTTATCACGATTATTCGCCAAAATGTGTAGACAATACCAGAACATTTAATTAGAGAAATTTAAATCTTTGAATTTAAACTCGGTAGAGAGAATTTAAATTTACAGATATAATCTCAAGTTATATTAAGAGAAATAAATGTGCAAATAATAATTGAAATAGTTGACGAGATGATAATGAAATTAATTTATAAAGCAAATTTAAACGCGGGATTTTCATATTATAAACAAGATATAAGATCATATCCACAAAGCCAAAACCGCACCAAAAAAAAGAAGAAAGATGAAGGGGTATAAAGGAAGGACGAGACACGTTGTCGCAGTTCCAAGAAAATCAAGAGGGTTGCCTTGGTCCTCTTGTGTACAATAAAATAGTGAACTTTTATCGTATAATAAATACCAACAACCGCTTTAGCTTCTAAAAACAAAGAATTTAATTGACGTTTAACGTTTCCTGAATAATTTATGTACATCTATTATATCAGTAAGTGTGGGAACAGAAATATCTCTGAATATATAGCTTTAATAACGTGTCGTATTTTATCTATCTATTTTCTAACTTTCCTCATGCATGTAACAGCACGTGCATGGTAGAAAACCTTTAAAGTAGTTTAGAGCGATAAGAACACCTAGTGTTTTTTCACGAATATATTTCACATTTGTGTTTCAATAAAAGTCCCACCGACTGTCATCTTTTCTTGCAACTTTTAACATCAAGTGCCTTGTTGGCGACATCGAAACCTGAACTATACTCGAATCGAAAGTCTGATTTCAGGTAATATCCAGATAAAATACTATACAAACGATACAGACGAGTGAGCAGCGTGAAGGAACGATGATCAAGTCGAAGGTTATAACCGGTCGTGTTATTTAAAATCAGAGCAGATCTTGGTGAGGTGACAGTCGTGAGTTTCGTGACACGGCAAAGATTGGAAGAAAGAGAGAAAGAAGAAGCCGCGTAAAAGTATCGTGCGGTGGAAACGAGTCTGGTGCAATTACTACGAGGCTGGCTATCCTCGAACCAGGAACGAGCGACCAACCACGCCCTCGCTAATGCGAGTCCGCGCGAGACAGGATTCAGGATTTCGAATCGACTTGGCAAGGACGCCTGCTATATACAATGCACCCGCGGCACACAAAGACCGGCCCCGCTACTGACATTTTTTAATTACACCCTGTTTACGCGGCCGAGAGTCGAGACTCGGGACTCGGGACTCGAATCGCCAGCGGCATGCCAGTATTGCCCAGCTATCGCCGACAATAAGTTTCACATGATACGAGCACGTGCTTCTCCGTATCGGCAACCAAAAACTCTCACGATAACCTGAACAAAGACCGAAGGTTTCGTTCTTTCGGTCGGAACGACAAATTTAAATTCATCCAGGCCTCTCTTATTCTGTAGCTCTTAAGGAAATCTTACACTTGTCTGTTTTTTACCAATTATTTTTCAAATATTTTTCAAATATTTTTCTAACTCTCTGCCTTCTCAGATGCATATACAGATTGAAAAAATCTTTTCCACAATCAAAGTGAAATAAACGGTAATGTAGTCCAAATCGGTCAACTTAATGCCAAAAATTTATGAAAAAAAATTGGAAAATTACAGTTTTGTCATCAGCTTCTGGCGTCGATTTGTAATAATATTTGTTATATATATATATACAAGTTTGTATGTATAAAACAATTTTGGTTTGGAATAGGGATTATCACGCACAAACAAGCAATGTTGAGTTCTTGAAATTATAGGCTTAGATATCTATGAAAGGTTAGTTGGAAAATTTGTACGTATGTACGCATGGGATATTGATGTAGTAGTGTATAGTGATGTGTCACTCACACGTAAATATACCGTTACATTGTCGTTGTGCAGATTTTATATATGATAAAAAAGAGCTACGCAATATGACAATGTAACAACACCGACACTGTCGTGAAGAATTATAGAGAATAGTAGTTTTGGCAACGGTTGATTTACATATATATATATATATATAAATTCAAATTGACAAATTTAATAAATGCTAGAAATACGGAAAGATGTGTCTCTCGTCAGTTGAATGATAAGCGGTTTCTTAAGGAAATTTTAAGAATCGAATGATAATATGCAAGGATAAAAAGACAAAGATGCACAAGAAAGTAACTTTTAAAGATAAATTCCACAATTTATAATTATATAGGACATTCGCGAATCAAAATATTACAGCAAGAAAGTTTTCGAAGAATTAAGTAAAAAAGATATGTGCACATTTTTATTTCAAGCAATAGTTTTTGAGATTTTGAAGGTTTAAATATAGCCAATTACAGATTACATTTAGACGACTATCTGTACATGAATCGCGCGTGCGGTAATTTAGTAAGCGCGCACTTCAAAGTTCAAATATAGTCCATAATTGGCTATATACTTAAACCCTTATTATTTTACAAACTATTGCTTAAAATAAAAATTTACAAATAACTTTTTTTATTTAAATTTTTGAAAATTTTCTTAATGTAATATTTTAATTCGAAATTTGGGACATCCAGTATAATGAAAATTGCATCGGAAACTTGTGTAAGAATCGTGTGTATAATGCGTCTGTTATAAGAAATTTTATTATAAGGACAATGTTTTACATTCTTATTCCTTATTTTCTATTTCTAATAAAATGTCATTGTTGCAATATACGTTACACAATTTACGTTGTTTACTTCAAATATCAGACACAGCGAGATTTCGTATGTAAATATTTAATTATCTCTCTTACAAGCAACGATAATGGACGTTTGTTGTCAAAGTCCAGCTGTCGAGGAAAAGCGTTAAAAAATGTTATTTAATCGCTCGCCTTGTATCAACTACCTCTTGCACCGTGTTCTCCGAGCATATCGCGAGAGATAAATTCTCCTCACGAAGATCTCACGAAACCTTTCTATCTTTATAATTAGCTCGCTTGTTTTCAACTACGTGAAATGATAGGTCGATAGACTGTAAAATTATTACCTATTACTTACTAAATTGAGGAGTAACGATAAGAAAAATGTAATAAGCTCAAAGGGTAGATCATTTATGTAATGTTTATTATTAACAATGCCTGTTAATTATCTGCGTATTGTCATGCGTAATCTAAATGCATAATATTGCTACAAAATAATCACGTCTCATAATTTTGCTATTTATTTTATTTTTATTTTACTATCAAAGTTAGGGCTAATTTTTTTTAAATTATTTATTATCGAAAGCTATTCTTAATGTGTCGCTAATATTGACTACATTTACACGGCATCCTAAATCAAGTTCAATAACATCCGTAATTCTAAAACTAGCCAATCATTATAGTTATACCATTCTTCATAAAAATAGTTATGATAACTGCAAATGTTATTAAAAGTGCCTTGTAAACATGGTCATTGAATAATATCGAACCGTGTATCTAAAAAGAAAGAGTAACTTGAAAAAAGATTGTTTATTCACAATACACTATCTGTTACGTAGAGACAAATTAAAGAATAAAGTAAGATTCCTACAAAAAATTGTTGTACATCTCGAATTCTTTTAATCTTTAATTTATTGTTGGTCCAATTAATTAATTCAATTAAAAATAAATAAAAAGGGACAAAAAAACATAAAAATGATGAAAAGCTTCGTGAAATAGGGCGATTTGCAGAAGAATCGCATGACAGTGCTGGAGATGCGTTTTGCGGAAGACGATAAAACCTGCTCGGTAAACGTTGCGCTGCGGCGCCAAGAAAACCGCGGATCGGCGCGGCACGGCGCGGTTTCGCCTCTGTTTTTACCGCGAAATTTTCCATCACGTACCAGCCGAGTGAATTTCTCGGTTCTCGTACCTAACTATCGACATTGCCAGTCTTATAGTGGTGGTAGATTCGAAAGTTAGCCTTTCGTACGACCGACTCGCCGCGGCTCGTGTCTTTCTTCGGCAGGGCCGTAGTTACTGCGACGCGACATGATCTTTCGGTCGGAGGATCTTTACGATCCTCTCCTCGCTCTAAAGTCGAAAGCAACGTCTACAATGAGATTTTAAGGCGTAAAACTTAAGCTCGTTAGTTTTAAACTGTAAGAAATTGACCAATCATAATCGATTATTCTCCTCACGTTCGATTGCAATTGGTCAATTTCTTAAGGCTTAAACTTTATACCTTAAAATCTCATTGTAGACGGCACTTAATGCCTTTAATGCCTTCTTTTAGCATACCGAGGTTTGTAATAACCTGAGTTGGATTAATGATGTTTATGCACTACCAATAGTAGAGCATACAACGTCCAACCTAGATCGATTGAAACCCGCTACGGTCGAAAACGCCATCTCTACCTCTATTTATATGGAGCACATAAGTGCGTTGTCAATAAGATCGTCGCGTGGGTTTAAGTATTATAGGAACAATAACAAATATCGCGTACATTTACAATTCAGAATTGCGCTACGGCACTTTTATCCGTTAATGTTTTCACAAAAATATCTGATTGTTTTAATTGGAATCCTGGTTAAAAATGTACGAATCCGATTTTTCTGGTTGATATATATACATGTAATCAGAATTTTCCATTTCGTCCATTTCCAATCAGACATTTTTCTCAGTGCAAGTGTATCCTTAATGCAATATTTAATGTAGAAGCGTAAGTTATAAAAAATTAACATAAATTAACGCAAATTTTACTTTGTGCTAGAGTAGACAGTTTGGAAAATTGTCCGATTGGAAGTAATCAGCTATATAGTTTCGATGTAGAATTCTTTGGTTTGTTTACAATTTCAGTTTGACAAAAAGAGATGTAATTTTATTGGATTAATATCGCTTCATCAAGTATACAACTTGGCATAATATTAAATGTGTTGTCAGAATTGAAGAGTGGTACATTTAAAATATTGTAAAAAATCGCAATAAAACAGTTTACGTACGTACGCTGTAAATCAAGTAGAAAAAGACGAGAGGAGGAAACATAATGAAGAAAACTTACCGTCTCCACCATGTCGAATCCTCCTCCGTACACCATATCTCGTTGCCCTTCGCTACCGATTCGACACTTTTGACAGATGTCGTCCTCGCGCGCGCGATCGCCGAGGATCGAATATCGATCCCTCAGTGCACCGAGTGCACTCGGTTGAGAGGAGAGATCAAATTTAGTTGGCGCGATCGCCGACGGCGACGGCGACGATGGAAAATCCACCGGAGGATCCTCCTCTTCGGCCGGTGCCTTATGTCGCTAGTTCCACGATCCCTCCTCGTCGCGTGCGCGGCCGTGTGCCTCTCGCGAGTCCTCGCGGCTCCTCGCGATTCCTCGTAACCTCGTGTGTCGCGTACGATCGACCGACTGACCGCTGAACGTGTGCCGTGTGGCGGGACTGGCACTGGCGGGAGTTCGGTCGTTCGGTGGGCGCGTTCGAATTCGAAGCGTTTACCCGAGAGGCCGAGAGTCGCCGAAGTCGTCCGAGCGCGAGCGACCTACTAATTCGCGCATGCGCGACGTTGCGCACGCACTCGCGCGCCGCGGCTGAGGAACGATATGACGTGCGACGTCGCGCCGTCCAGCGTGGTCCACCGCGGTCCACCGCGGTCCAGCGAATCTTTATGGTGCGCTTAACTCCGCGCTCAACACCTTCCGCCGCTCTCTTACCGACTTATCAAGTCGTCCTCTCGCGGCTAGAGTTACTATATCTGAATCACAAGGAAAGAGTATATATGTATATATGAACTTTAAAAAAAGAAAATAGTCCGAGAACGGAAAGACATACAGCTTTTTTATTAATGTAAGCTTTATAACTTGAAAAGGGTACTCTTTAAGAGAGTACAATTGATAATCTTATTCGCGGCAAATTTGTGGCGGACGAATGACGATACATACCGAGATGCGAAAAGAAAAGATGAAACTGTCAATTTTTTTCCTTTACCGTCGCGACGCGTTCGAGAATTTATGATGAGCATTTCGAGTTTCGAGTTACGATATCAGACAAACATACCTTTTATTGCCTGTTACTGCCGATCGCCATCGCATCACGAAAGACAAAGAGATCACGATCGACGTTTCACCTTTCGCTGACTGCTATACGCGACCCAACAAGCCGGGAATGGACGAGTGTACTCTGCACAATTAAGGCAATATTTAGATTTTCACCCAAAACGTTTCTTTAAGTCTAGAAGAATGACCTACTAACGATCGAGGAATCATGACGTCTTTCCTCCTCTTTTTAACTTTGGCTATCGATGATCGATCGAGCCATAAAGACCCTCTAATAAGAGTCTAATCATGAACCGCATTTTGTATATGCAGCTGGGTCTCTATCTTTAGCAAAATCACGCGAAAAAGAAGAACATACATTCACTATTCCTTTCTCTTTCTCTTTCTGACGTCATAGATTTTTAATTAATTGATAGATTTAAAATTGGATTATGCAAATATCTATTACTAAAAGTCATGCAACGTATGACTACCACTTGATTTGCACTGTTAAAGATCTCTGTATCGCGTTGATAATTCTTTGATTTTCTATTTTGGGTTTTTCCCATATTGTAAATTAATTGTTTCTTTTTTAGCTCTGCTACATTTTGTACATATATATCTATTAATATATTTGCTTATGACTTGTATTAATGTTTCGCTTCGTTCTTCTATATACTTTCTTACAATTAGTTATACTACATAGTCTCTATCATAAATATAAGTGCTTTCGTATATAAATTGTCGCTTAACATTCTCGCAGTTTTCAGTACGACATAACATTGATACTTGAGAAAAGAAAAAAATGTCAATTATTTCATAGTTTTACTTTTTATTTGATTTTATTGCAGTATTATCGTTGCAGCAATGTGTCCAACGCAATATGTTTCTATAAAATGAAATAAAATGTAATCGCGACATACACATGAATCACTTTAGAGACAATAAAACATTTCTAAAAATCTCTATTTTCTCTCGCAATGAAAATTCATTTGAAGATTATACTCGTACATTGACTCTGCGCGTTTGACATATGTTTATTCAATTTCAGATGCTGACGAAATCCTGTTTTTTATCCCATTGCGCAGCGAATCGCAATTATATTGTATATTTATACCCCGGTACTCGCACTACAGTATTTGGTGGTGTAACTGTTTTATGGCGCGATGATAGATATAAATGGTATGTGCGGTGGCTGTAGGTGCTCTTACGCGCGTGCGCAGGAGATACGTATAAAAATGTCAGAACACACGTGTTTATTATTTCGAAGTTAAGACACAACGCTCCCATAAGTCAGAGGTTGAGAGCAAGTGCTACGTGCGTCACGCACTCTTAACTGCATCCTGTCCACACACACACACACACACACACACACACGTGCACCAATATAATTCTATTACTTTCAAACAATGTCCTCCAATAGAAGATCAGAATCTGAGCCATAACTCCGTGAAGGTATATGTATATAACTTGGGGCGCACAATGCTCCAGCTTTTTATCGATCGGGGTTAGTAAAATAAGAAACATGCGAGACATGCGATTCTTAAAGGAGAGAAAAAAATGCATTCTTATACATATACTGTGCGTAAGAGCACCTAGCTAAAAGCCGGAGTGTCTAGGGCGTTAAGATAGAAACGCGTACATAAAAAGAGACGTAAGGCAATAAGATTTAAGCAATAAGCGAATCAGCGAATCACAATAGAGAACGTGTAAAGTAGTTGTCTACTACAGTGATTGGCCGATTCGCTTACTGCTTAAATCTGATGCTTATTACCGCCTACGTTTTTTACCGTCAGACATCCCGCGCCCAACCTTGATATGACAGTAAATAACTCGCATGTGCGTAACGCGCGCTCCTTGAAATCGGACAGGCTCGGCTCGGCTCGGCAAGCGATTCGCGAGATCGCGAGAACGCGCAGGTATTCGCGTGGGCGATTAGATCCGCGACACGGTTTACGGGATAAAAGGAGAAAAAAAGATGTAAAGAAAAAGATCGGTACAATAGCCCTTTGTGTGTCTATCTGTCCGCTACTCCGCTCGCGGGACGCGAGGTTCGGCGATGGCGAGAGGCGCGCGTTGCATGTCGCTCGTATTGTGAAACGAATTCCAGGACAGGCGTTTTCCGGATCTGCGCGAGATCTGCCGCTTGCGTAAAAACGTCCTTTGGAGGCTCCCTTCTATCGATTCAATGAAACCATATGTCCTTTATTATAGAGAACAGTGTGTCCTTTAGATTTATTTATTTTTTCAAAACTCAATTTTGTCCTTTATTTTAATAATATTACTGAAAATTCCCCTTTCTAATTATGTATAGCATTGCAACGTCTAATGTACTAATGAGCGAACTTTTACGGAAACTATATCAATAAATTTAATCTTTTTACGCAAGAGCTACATATTTGCCCAAACGGTAGAATAACAAAGTCACAGTAACATCAAAATGATATCAAAATAAGTCGTGATTGATTGAAAAGTGATATTTAACAATTAAATTTGTAGCTATTTTAATCTTATGGTAACTCGTATTTTATTTGGGAATTATTTCAGACATACTGCGCAAGACAATTTTTCAAATTAATGCGCAAACTTCTAACAAGTTACGAATTGGGGGGGTTTAAAAATATTTAAAATCCTAAATTTTAGGTTTGTTCTCTCTCTCTCTCTTTATTTTCCCTAAGAAAGTATGGCCACTTTACTGACAGAGATCATCGATTTGGACGCCTTTCGTCCTGCGCACCTATTAAATCTTCGAGATGCACGTCAATGAAAGACGTGCCGTAAAGCGTGGCTAAGTCTGTCATTGATGGAAGTTAGTTATTATTGCTATATAAAGTTGAGTGTTATATTCGTACCTTTACCGGGAAAATGTTTCGTAACACGTTTTTTACACGGTTCTCTGAAAAAGATAATGAATTTATAGTTAGTTCGTCGCGATATATGCATCCTTGGTGAAGATAAAAATCAGAGCGTAAATCCACCGTAATGGCAGAGTAGCAAAATTAAGCGTAAACGATCGAAGCTTCTAAGAGGTGAAAATTGAAATAACGAAATGTAAAAACGTCTTTTGCGTTTCGTTTTTTCGACTTTTGCCTTCTAAAAGTTTCGTTTACACTCGTGTGTATTACTCTCCCCCTTATATATTCGACTTACGCTCTAATTTTTATTTTTGCCAGGGATGTGTCACGTGTTTCACTAAATTTTTGTTATCTTTAGCTCCTTCACGCAGTTCATCTTCTTTTGTATTTGTCATGAAAAAAAAATTTTCATTATACGTGAATATATCACATTTTAAGAAAAAAGTTCCATCGATCAAATTTTTTTTATTTATACAAAATTTAAATTTCTGAAAAAAAATATACCTGAGAAGAAAGCGAATTATGATGTGAAAAGCTGTACGACAAAGTTCATTTTCAAATTTTTATTTACGATGAAACTTACGAAACAACCGGCACCGTAATTTCTCAGAAATCCATAACTTGATCCTCCTCCTATTATCTTTTTTCTTCCTCCTATCATAGACCGTGAGAATTACGTCATGACATCTCAGAATTTCCCGTATACAATGGATTGTAATCGCCAGAAAGGACCTAGGCAAAGTTATTTTTGAATTTGCAAGCCATGATCTCGTTTCGCTAAAATATATAAACATTTGCCTTATATTTCAAAAATAAATAAAGATATTCCCATATATTATTCATGCAAGGCATTTAAATCTTTTTATCTCAAACCGTTCGGTTACTGTGATCATTATTGACCGCAAACGCACAGGTGTTCGTTATATCGATAGGCTTGACTAGTTTAGTAAACGCTTCATGTGATCGATCTTTCCTCATTGCGAAAGTGCCACGTCCGGTTACGAATCGGAATTGTTTCTGAAAAATTAAACAAATTTAAATTACAACTTTTCCAAATAGACTATTAGGCAAGTTCATGATTGTTTTGTTCATTTTCGTTTGTAAAAACGCAATAATATAGATAATCTATTTATTTACTCAGTATCTTAATGTTGTACATATCTTTCTTTAAGTGGCACGCAGATATGTATTTTTAATTTTAAACTGCAAAGTGTCGTCTGTATAAAGATCATGTATATTTAAATGTGATTTACATCATTTAACATTATTTGCGATTCTCTTTGTTTAAACTAATCCGTGTAACTTGATGCATTAGATATTATACT